GGAAAGAGAGAGAGAGAAAGGATGCAAATAAGGCAAAGCCAGGTGTCTTTGTGTGCATCCGCTGATGTGAACAGCATCCCTCTCTGACGTAGACGCTGCCTTTAGAGGGACAATTCTCAGCCGGTCTGTCCAGCTACCCCGCTGGCCATCCAGCCTCAGTCAAGAGCACACTCAGAATAAGAAGAGATGGGGGTTGGAGGTCTGAGCAGAAGGAGTGTGTTTGATTTGAATGCAGTGACGAGAGTGGAGAATAAGAGGAGGAAAAAAATGAAGAGGAAAACAACTGGCTTCATCAGAGCATGTTGACATTTTTTTTCCTGAGCAGTAGTACAGGAAGGTAAACGCGACAAAGAATAAGGTTGAGGCAAAGAAAGAGTCAGACAGAGGAAAATGGACAAACAGCAAAGATGGAAATCAGAGAGCGGAGGTAGGAGCAGGAGCCAAGGATGGTGGGGAAAAGATTCACAAGGGAGGAGGCAAAGCAGGAAAGAAATATAAAGCTAGAGGAAGAAGCATAGAGGAAATGAAGTGGCTAGGGGAAGGGTGAGTGAAATATATGTTTGCTTAGTAATATGACTATGTGCAACCTTGCTACTGTAATTACAAACAAACAAATTCTTACATCATCCTCACACCCTCTACCCCTGAGCCCATTCTCCTCTTCTCTTTGTTCTCCTTTCTAAGACGATAGCAGCCCTTAGAAAAACCCATAAGTCATCAATTATTTATCTATATTCCATGTGCATTCATTCTAACAAGTGACAGGGTCAAGGTCACAGGCTCAAGCAGCTGAGGGCTATTTGGACTGGCGCAGCAACACATCTCCCTACTGGATTACAACATGACGCAGGTACACAACAAGCAGCAGCCACAGTTCAATCTCATAATAATGGTTGTTTTCTTTGTGGATTAATAGTTTTGTCTATTAAGTGATGAAAAAATGTTGCAAAATGCTGATTTCAATTCCCCAGAGCCCAAAGCAATATCATCACATTGCTCTGTTGTTCTGCCAGCATTCCAAAACAGAGAGATAGTGTACAGTACATCATATATAAGTATATGAAAGAAAGTCAGGTGATAATTCTCTGTGTGTTTGTCACTAGGAACAGCACCATTCAAAGTACACAATATCATTGAGTGCAAAGTTAACAAACTACTGATGAGAGCAGTTTGGTGTCAGAACATTTGGACTAAACTATCACCAGCATTAATCTGTGTCAGATTCTCTATAGAGGCCTGTGCAAATTGGAAAAAAGATTATAAAAGATATCTGATTTGTGGAACAAACATGACAAGAATATGCAAGTGCTTCTCATCACCTATTGTACCTCCTCCTTCAAAACCTCTCTTTTCTAACACATATTCTCACACATGTTCTTTGTTCTTTCAGACACATCTGTGCTCTCCACACCTCCTTCTGCAAATGAGCCTAAAAATAATAACAGGCAGACCCAGATCTCACACCACATCCACCCAGAATCCTCATCCACATATCAGCACATCTTCTGAAGTGGGTTGTGGAATATGATTCTGGTCATTAGCCATTTCTTCTTTCTCCATTTATCTGATGATTATCACCCAGCAACAAAAGATACTCTTAGTCATCCTTTTCACTAAAAACAGACCGAGATGCAGTGGACTGCACTTTGCAATTGTTATTTTAACAATCCTCCCTCTCTTCACCCTCATCCGCCTCGCACTCCTCCTCCATCTATCACCAGTGAGAGGCATTCGGTCCAGGAGAAAGGGCATCAATCAATACCAATGCTTTATGCGTGATACGGAATACACCCCCAGGTAACAGTTCAAGCGCCCCCAGATCAATAAACCCATCATAACAAAGGATTCTATGACCATCATCTGATGAGAGGCCAGATATGGTGGTGGAGGTTCCATTTCATGTTGCTTGGAAATGTCTCTCATGAGGTTGTTTTTTTACGCTGACTAAAAGCCAGTGACTCAGCTTCAGCCAATCTCTGGCTGGGACACCAGTGAATATCAGCCATTTAGAAAGGATAATCCGGTTTATCAGTTCATGTTGTTTATCTTACTCTAAATCGGATTTGATTGATGGTTTGGGAGACCACACTGTTCTCTGTACTGCTTAAACCTGCAGTATGTACAGACTTGGACATCAGCCATTCATCACTATTGAGCCACAACATGTATCAAACATGCCTGTGTAAACAGCCTCGCCTATGGATGCACATTTTGTCTCAGCATTGATGGAGAAATCACAGACACCAAATTAGCACTAAAAAGGCCTTGAACAGGTGCAATTTGGTTGCATGCTATAGCTTAATTAGCTTAAAACTACAAGAGCGTAAGCACACTTCATGGAAAACAATTGATTTTGTGACAGGGCTGCTTTCTGTGGAGCTGCCTTGATGGATGCCTTCCAGGCATACAGCTTTATCAGCAGCAAGCCTGGCATAATCTCTCTGCGACGGAAAACAGATTCAGCTGCTGTTAGATCACAAGTCTTGACATAAAAAACAGACCTTCCTTTTCATGTATGTCCATTCTGCTTTTTAAACTAGGCTTCTCTTTGCAAAAGCACTGGACTGTGTAGCATAAGGAGCTCTGCTTATGATGAAACACCAAAATGATGAAACACCAAAAAAAAAAAATAAATAAATAAAAACTGTTAGCAAATGAAGGTCACTGTTTTAGCTTAAAGGTTATCAAAAATGAAATGCTGCAACAAGATCCTCCACAACAAAGACCAATGAAACATGTTCAGTGTTTTGCTTTGGATACGAGAGTTGTATATGAAGAAGAATGTGTGAAGAAAACTGGCAATATTGAAGTTGCAATCCATGCACAGGCTATTACATGTGTAATTGTAGAAAAGCTTAGACCAAGTTGGCAACTCAGGAGAAAAACTACAATAACCTGACACTTCTTTATGTGCCACCAAAAATGTTCAGAAGCCAGTATGAGTATGTTGATTCAGTTCATATGGTGACTTCGTTTAGACATCACCAGTCACACTGCAATCTGATCCTACCACCTAATCCTGGCCAAATCCCTGAGGATTCCTGTGAATGACTGTGCAGCAGCAGAATGGAACACAAACAACACTGGCTTTCCCCTCACATACTGCCTCCACTGGCTCGTGAGAATAGAGAACCTAATTAATTGTAGTGTATCTGTAATCCACTTGAATGTGATGTTTAGAGAATGTGAAATCAAGCAGTTATAGATTATCTCTCCTCCAGTATGCCAATGTAAGCCGGTCGCAGCCCAGATAAGGGTACTAGGTTGATAAGTAATGTTGAGAGCAGGAATTCCATGCAGTGTATGGCCAGTAATAAACATTGACCTAGCAGACAAATGGGCCTAAGATTCAACTGCAGCACAATTTGTCCATAGAATTAAAAAGATAAGACTTTTAAAGTGTAATTTTGCCAGGCCATAAAATGGCAAGTTCCTTCATCTTTGTGATTTCATTCAGTCTTTTGTGCCATACACAATACATTTCATTTATATATTATATATTTGAAAAGTAGCACTTAAAAAACATCTTGGTAGGCCTGCTTACACAATTTCACCTGCAGTTCTCCTAAGTAAAACACATAAGGCAATGATGTCATTCCTACTAACATTTTCTTTGAGTAGTTTGAAACGATCCATCTAAAATTCAGCAAGAAAAATGGGCAATTTGAGTGTTAAATACACAACCATATTCATATTTGTTCTATGTCAAATAGAACCACTGTGCCTTAGTGTAAAGGCTGCACTAAAAAGCAATATCCATGTGCTAACTGAATCCAATTAAGCAGCAACAATAGCAGCCTCAGGTGTATGACCTTGTTTTCTTTTCCTTTACATGTTCCACTCAGTTGAGTATGCATTTCAGAATTCCTTGCTACAGAATGATCCCTCATACTTCAGCCTGTTAAAGGAGCATCAACAAATATTTTATGTGGTGCATACTGTATTATGTATTAATGCCAGATCCTACTCACCTCTCTGCTTCTTGCTTCTCGGCCCACTCACACCTTCCCTAACACTCCTCAAAGCTTTCCGTGCATCAAGCAGTTCCTTCCGTAACATGGTTCTTGACTTCTTTTCTATGTTCCTTTAAGAACCAACTAGATGGCTAAGTGTTCAAGTTTTTTCCATCGAGATATCTCACTGATAACATGGTAACCTCCATAAAATGGCTCCAACAGGCCTGCTTCTTCCAGCTCCATCTTCTCTTCTTATGATGTCTATGAAATGGCTTCTTCTGCAGTATGAAATTAGGAATTGGTCAAGCAAGGATGTGCCACAGTGAAATGGCTGCTCGACCTTAAAACTTCCTCAGCCCATGACTGCCTTTCTTGCCCTGTCTTCTCTCAGTCATCCCTAACTGTGACTGCCAATTTGAGCGATCTATTTCCAGTCCTGCCTAGTACTACCCCTTCAGTTCTCCTTTCCCTCTGCACCCCATTTCAGAAAGCTCCCCCACTCCCAGTTAAAATAGGAGATTAAACACACTGCTACACCTTTGCTGTCCTTTGTGGGCCACTCTGCTTGGACTACATGGAATTCTATAACTATAGCACAACGCAGACATGCTATAGTACACCATTAATGACATGCTACAACTGCACATACATTATGGGACAATAAGACAGTTAAAGGGATGCCAGTGAAATGAGGGCATGCCTATTTCAGACAGCTAGGTGCTAATAAACCTTTGAGCTGGATGAGGAAATAACACTGTAGCCTTGAATGGGCTATTATATCAGTTTGAAAAAAAGTGAGAAACTGTTTGTTCAAGGTGGCTGGGCAGCTGCACCTTCAAACCTAAAACTACCTGAGCACACTGTTCACCTAACTAAAAAGATGTGTGCCTAAACCACAACAGTCTCTCCTT